ACACTTCCCGTCAACAAATCGAGTTAAAACTTAGCAGGGTAATTAGGGGAGAGACTGCAATCAGGTTAGCACAATAGGAAATTAATTTTATTCTGTTTTTTTTCTGTTTGTTCGCTGACGAAGGTTTCCTACCGACACGTTCGTTGTTTTGTTGCATTTTTTTTTTTTTTTAGGTTTAACCTTACTGTGTTTTACTCTTTTCCTAAAACTTATCACATGGACTTGTTGCAGATGGCAAAACATTCTGTCAAATTTTCATCCCATTTGCCCAACCCTTAAAAATGAATTTCTCCCCCTTTTCAAGCGGAAGATGAAGGAAGTATGATGACATTGATTTCATAAGATAAAATTCCCATAACTGCGCTAAATGAGATTGTTTTTAAAAAAAATTTCGTTTAGTGCGTAATATTTTATTTTGTCTTTTCTGAAATAGTTGGTGAAATAAATCTGCGGTGTAAAAGCGGACGGGAGATTAGAATATTAGTATAATATAAAATTAAATAACAGACAAAGGATTTATGCGAACAACTTTGTTTTTAGGGGTTGTATAATTAAAGTTTTGATTTTTCCAGATAACATATAAGGAAACGCGTACATTTTAAATGATGCTAATAACTATATTTTTACAAAGCCAAAGTGAGCCTGTTTTATTCCGCATGAGGCAATGGAGTATTAAGGGTGAGGAAGAGAGGGTGGGTGAGGAAGAGAAAGGGAGGGGCGAGGAAGAGAAAGGAGGGGCGAGGAAGAGAAAGGAGGAGCGAGAAAGAGAAAGGGGGGAAATGGGAAGAGAAAGGGGGTAAATAGGAAGAGAAAGGGGGAGCGAAGAAGAGAAAGGGAGGAGCGAGGAAAAGAAAAGAGGCGCGAGGAGGAGAAAAGGGGAAAATGGGAAGAGAAAGGGAGGAAATAGGAAGAGAAAGGGGAGCGAGGAAGAGAAAGGGGGGGGAATAGGAAGAGAAAGGGGGAGCGAGGAAGAGAAATTTCCTTAAAGATAAAAAAGGGAGGGCGAGGGGGAGGAAATTGTTACAGCGAAAAAGAGAATGGGGAAGAGAAGGAGAATGGGGAAGAGAAAGAGAATGAGGAAGAGGAGAATGGGGAAGAGAAAGAGAATGGGGAAGAGAA